GGGAGAACCCAAACTCCCGATCCCCTTGGAATTCCCCCCCTCTGGACTCACCCCATGCCCATCCCACTGCAGATGGCTGCGGAGCAGTTCAAGAAAACCAGTTTACACGTGGCCAAGAGCGTCCTGAACAACAAACACATCGTGAAGATGCTGGAGAAATACCTCAAGGTGAGTGCGGGCGAGCGCTGGCACCGAGCGCCGGCAGGATTGATCTCCTCGTGCCCCTGGGCACCTTCCACTCGCTGCCTTCTCCTCCTCCAGTCCTGGAGCTCCTTCCTCTGCAGGTTTTAATCCCTCCTGGGGGATTTTTGGGGGGGATTTTTTGTCCCGTTGGTGCCCCTGGCAGCCGGTGCCCCCCCCATCAGTCCGGGCGCCTGTGCCGGGATCGCGGCCCGGAAACGGGGGCTGAACCAACCAAAACACCAAACCTGGAGCTGCCCAAAGCCCCCCCATCCTGAGCCCCCCTCTGGGGGGGGGGGGACACACCACATTCCCTCATCCAGGGAGGGCAGGAAGATTCCTGCCGGGATTGGGTCCAACCTGGACGGCTCCCGACCCGCCTGGAGGGGAATTTCCCCCCATTTCCACATCCAGGGCAGCTCCAGGAGTGACGGAGCCCCCCGGGATTGGGACGTGGATCCCATTCCCGTGACAAACCCTCCCTTAGTCCCTCCCGGCCCCCCTTTTTTCCCTGCTCTTCCCTGGGGAAGAGCCCGGCCGAGCTGCGGAGCGGCGACGGAGCGCGCGGAGGGCTCGGGATCGCCCGAGGCCTCGCCGGTGCTGGGAATGGCGCTGGGAATGGCGCTGGGAACGGCGCTGGGAATGGCGCTGGGAACGGCGCTGGGAACGGCGCTGGGAACGGCAGGACGGAGCCGGGAAGGGCCAGCGGGGCCTCGGGAGCGCAGGGGGGATCCCCCCGCTCCGCAGGCGAATCCCGGTGGGTTTAACGGGCGACCGAGAGAGAGGAGAACTCGCCTCTTCCTCCTCCTCCTCCTCCTCCTCCTCCTCCTCCAGGCGAAGAGGAAAAGAAGCGCTTTTGGCTCCGTGTAGTTCCCTGGGAATGCGGGAACAGCCCCGGATGCGGCAGGAGGACCCTGGTCTGCAGGCAGGGCCGGCAGGTGCCCACCGGTCCCCTCCGGCACGTGGGGGGGGGTTTGGCCTCATCCTGGCCAGAGGCAGCTCCCAGCGTGCCCAGGCTCTGCTAAACCCCCCCAAAAAACAGGGAAAAGCTGCGACTCCAAACCTCTGGGTCCGGGGAAAAGGGATGTGGAGGCATCCAAAGAGATGGCCGTGTAGGGTGGCCATGGTCCTGTTTTCCTGGTGTAGGATGGCTGTGTCCTGTTATCCTGGCTTAGGATAACCATATCCCATTATCCTGGCTTAGGATAACCATATCCCATTATCCTGGCTTAGGATAACTGTGTCCCGTTATCCTGGTGTAGGATGGCCATGTCCCGTTGTTATCCTGGTGTGGGATGGCCATGTCCCGTTGTTATCCTGGTGTGGGATGGCTCTGTCCCATTATCCTGGCTTAGGATGGCAGTGTTCTGTTATCCTGGTGTAGGATGGCCGTGTCCCGTTATCCTGGTGTGGGATGGCAGTGTCCCGTTATCCTGGTGTGGGATGGCAGTGTCCATGGGACACTGGGCAGTGTAGGGTGGCCGTGTTCCCGTTATCCCAGCACAGGGTTGCCGTGTTCCCGTTATCCCAGCACAGGATTGCTGTGTTCCCGTTATCCCAGCACAGGATTGCTGTGTTCCCATTATCCCAGCACAGGATTGCTGTGTTCCCATTATCCCAGCACAGGATGGTTGTGTTCCCGTTATCCCAGTGCAGGATGGTTGTGTTCCCGTTATCCCAGTGCAGGATGTCCATGCCCCCTGTTTTCCAGCCTCTCCAAGCTGATCTGTGGCCCCGTTATTCCAGTGAAGAAGGGTGGCCGTGTTCCTGTTATTCCAGCACAGGATGGCCATATCCCTGTTATCCCAATGTGGGATGGCCATATCCCTGTTATCCCAATATAGGATGGCCATATCCCTGTTATCCCAATGTAGGATGGCCATATCCCTGTTATCCCGATGTGGGATGGCCATATCCCTGTTATCCCAATATAGGATGGCCATATCCCTGTTATCCCAATATAGGATGGCCATATCCCTGTTATCCCGATGTAGGATAACCATATCCCTGTTATCCCGATGTGGGATGACCATGTTCCTGTTATCCCGATGTAGGATGACCATGTCCCTGTTATCCTGGTATAGGATGGCCGTGTCCATTATCCTGGTGCAGGATGGATGTGTCTCCTTCATCCCAGCACAGGATGGCTGTGTCCTGTTATCCCAACACAGGACAGTCATATCCCATTATCCCAACACAGGATGGCCATGTCCTGTTATCCCAGTGACAGCCATATCTCATTATCCCAACACAGGACAGTCATATCCCATTATCCCAACACAGGATGGCCATATCCCGTTATCCCAACACAGGATGGCCATATCCCATTATCCCAACGCAGGATGGCCATATCCCGTTATCCCAACACAGGATGGCCATATCCCATTATCCCAACACAGGATGGCCATATCCCGTTATCCCAACACAGGATGGCCATATCCCGTTATCCCAACGCAGGATGGCCATATCCCGTTATCCCAACACAGGATGGCCATATCCCATTATCCCAACACAGGATGGCCATATCCCATTATCCCAACACAGGACGGCCATATCCTGTTATCCCAATGCAGGATGGCCGTATCCCGTTCCCAGCCTCCCACAGTTGGTGTAGGACAGCTGTGTCCTGTTATCCCAAGGATGGCCATATCCCATTATGCCAACGCAGGACAGTCATGTCCTGTCATCCCGACACAGGATGGCCATGTCCCCTTATCCCAGCAAAGGACATCTGTGTCCTGTTATCCCAACACAGGATGGCCATGTTCTGTTATCCTAATGACAACTATGTCCCATTATCACAACAAAGGACGGCCATATCCCGTTCTCCCAGCCCAGGACCTCCGTGTCCCGTTATCCCAACACAGGATGGCCATGTCCTGTTATCCCAATGACAGCCATGTCCTGTTATCCCAACACAGGATGGCCATGTCCTGTTATCCCAATGACAACCATGTCCCGTTATCCCAACAAAGGACAGCCATGTCCCGTTCTCCCAGCCCAGGACCTCCGTGTCCCGTTATCCCAACACAGGATGGCTGTGTCCTGTTATCCCAGTGACAACCATGTCCCATTATCCCAACAGGACAGCCATGTCCCGTTCTCCCAGCCCAGGACCTCCGTGTCCCGTTATCCCAACACAGGATGGCCATGTCCTGTTATCCCAACACAGGACAGTCATGTCCCGTTATCCCAACACAGGATGGCTGTGTCCTGTTATCCTAATGACAACTATGTCCCATTATCCCAACACAGGACGGCCATGTCCCGTTCTCCCAGCCCAGGACCTCCGTGTCCCGTTATCCCAACACAGGATGGCTGTGTCCTGTTATCCCAGTGACAGCCATGTCCCGTTATCCCAACAGAGGACGGCCATGTCCCGTTCTCCCAGCCCAGGACCTCCGTGTCCCGTTATCCCAACACAGGATGGCCATATCCCATTATCCCAACAAAGGACCTCCGTGTCCCGCTCTCCCAGGCCAGGACCTCGGTGTCCCGCTCCCGGCCTCTCATACTCGTTGATCCTGAGGGTGAGATCCACCCCTGCGGCACCCACGGAGAGAGCGCGGCCCTCGGGGCTCTCTCGGAGCAGAACCAGTTAACAAAGTGAAACTAAACCCCCCCAAAAAGACCGGGACCACTCAAGTGCAACTCCGTCTACCCCGCCAGGGTCCGCAGGCGCATCCACATCTCCTCTTGAGCAACGGTATCAGAGGCTCCGGCACAGCTCCGGGCACCTGACCTTGGGCCAGCGCAGGAGGAGGGAGAGCTCCGGAGCCAGCCCAGCACGGT